AGGTGTGCAAAATATGTATCATAATAAAGTAAATCTGATTAGAAATAAGTAATAAACATAGTAACTATCAGAGTGCTTAGAAAAACATGCACTCAAAAGTGACATGCCCCAAGCCTGCGAGCTCGTTGGTATGATATAAGCCCTGAAAGCTACTGAGTGCAATAGGTGGTTTGGCTCAATCCACTAACAAAATTGACAAGCTAATGTTACACTCGACTAGTTGGACTTACACTATAGACTATTTAATCACTCAATCAATATGTGATGTGAGACTAAATCTTGGGTATCACAATCACCTATCTTAATTTCGCGACGTCCTCATCGCGACATGACAATTGGTCATTCCTAGCATCACCACTGACAATGTTGACTCTAGTGAGGCTTCCATTACGGTACTCATGTAGTGTAACACTCAGTCATGTATAGCACTTAGCTCCACTTACTCCCACATAGCACTTAGCTTCACATTTCCAGCTGACTAACTGCTCTAATACTAGTTGTCACGCTTCTGACTTGCTAGCCCGTTGACGCGATGTAAGCCCTGAGACTCACTGAGTGCAACACGTTGTTTGGCTCGATCCACAACCAAAATTGACAAGGCAATATTGTACTTGACTCTTTGGACTTACATTATATTTAATCATCCAATTAATATATGATGTGTGACTAAGTATTAGAGTATCACAAAAAGAGAGTGTGAACAAGTTAGAGCAAGGGCAGCAAGCTCCTTGCCCCTCTCAAGGCCTATGTGGCGGAAGTCAAGTTTGCAAGCCCTCCAGCAAGCTCCCAAGGAGCTCCTTGCGCCCCCTCTCAAGGCCTATGTGGCTGACGTGGACATTGAGAGCTTGGGAGCTCCCAAGCACTCCACAAATTTGTGGAGCGCTTGGGAGCTCCTAACTGGTAAAGATTTTAACAAAAACTCCCCCACAAGTTCACAGTTGCATAGCTGAAAAAAATAGTGAAATCTGCCCAAAATTGAAGCCAAAAATCAAACCTTTTGTGTGCGGTGCGAACTTCACCTTCGCAGTTGGACGAACTCCGCGGCGAAGTGGATTTGGGGTGGGGTTGCGTCGGGTCGGAGATGATTTGGGGTTGGGTTCGGTCGAAGGAAAGGATTTAGGGGTGGAGTTGTCTGTTGAAGGGAGAGGATGAAGTTTTTTTTTAATTGGGGATTTGGCGTTGTTGAGAGGAATTTATTCACAATGAAAATGACAGTTGAGTGAAAATGAACCATTGAGTGTAATAAATGAGACTGAGTGAAAAAATGAGTTGAGGGTAAAAAATGAACCGTTGAGTGAAAAAATTTCTTACCGTTGAGTTATGAAAATGACATTTGTGGGCTCCATTTTCTTGCTGTTGAACAGTAAAAAAAAACCTCTATAAATTCACAATTCACAATCCACACAACTTTCTCATAAAAAAACTATATATTTTCCTATCAAATTACAAATCAAATGGATCCCTCCCAAAACAACTACTATTCGCAACTCCTTACCGGTGAAGGATCGACCTTATACTCTCCGTTCTATACAGGAGTCGTAGAAGAAGGTCATCCCATCGAGTTATCGCAATCCGCAACACAACAAGTGTCATCCCAAGAAACACCGACCACAAAGAAGAAGAAGGCTTACACGCGGTCCGAAAATTGGACTGTCCACGAGGATAAGCTTCTTGTGTCTGCTTGGCTGAACACGAGCCAAGACTCCATCCAAGGCACGGGGCAACACGAAGATAAGTTCTGGCATAGAGCTAACGACTACTTTATCTAATACTCCACCGATCCAACGAGTCGCACACCAAACCAAATGATGCACCGTTGGTCAACGATTCAACTATCGGTCAACAAGTTCTGCGGGTACGTTGCTCAGATTGAAGGAAGACAAAGATCCGGTACGGGAATTATTGACCAGGTAAATATTTAACTTATATGTTTTTATGTAAATATTTAACTTATATGTTTGATTATTCTAAATTTAACTCTTATGTAGAATGCAGAAGTAAAAGAATTATACCAATCCCTTTATGGTAAGCCATTCGTGTTTGACCATTGCTGGGTTGAGTTGCGTCATCACCAAAAATGGAACCAACAAATGGAAACTTACAATAAGATTCGATCACAGCCGAGAAGAACCACGAACTCTGATTCCTCACCAAACAATTCCATGCCAGCAACCCCCATCGAGTTGAACACTGACTCGGATGATGTTATAGCAAGGCCTGAAGGGAGGAAAGCGGCAAAGCTCAAGAGGAAACAAAATGTGGAAAGAGGTGAATCCGCTAAGTCCATCATGGGAAAGGCTTTCGCGTGGATGAAGCAAACCAACAAAGAAAAAATGGAGTTAAAACAGAAGAAACAAGATGATGATATCATGAAGATCTCTCAACACTCAATTCAGTTCAACGACAATACTTTGAAATGCGTCAAGCAGAGATATTGGAGAGGTGGATGTCCAAGGGTTCTTCCTAATTATCATATATTGTACTCTCATCGCATCCTCATTAGTTCTTCCTAATTATCAAATATTTTCTTGTATTAAATTTATGATTGTACTTGAAGTTGAAAAATTTGGCATTGAATGAAAACAACTTTATTGAAAATGAAATTGGCGTAGTACAACAACTTGAACTCCTTTTCTGAAATTGCATTAGACATAAAGAAACTTAATCCTCGACGATGGATCCCTTGAGCTGCCACAGATGCTCGATCAAATCATTTTTTAGTAATTTGTGTGTTTGCGTGTTCCTGATCCGATGATGATTTTGGATGAACTGGGTTAGAGGCACCGTCTGCACATGAGAAGGTTCAACGACTAATACCGAATCAGTAAAGTCGAAGTTGTTGTCCAATTGACAATCACGTTCATCTTCAACGATCATGTTATGCATTATGATACAAGCTGTCATGATATCTTTTAGCACACAAGGTTGCCAGAAACGTCCTGGTCCACGAACAATCGCAAACCGAGCTTGCAACACGCCAAAAGCTCGCTTAACATCTTTTCTTGCGCTTTCTTGTTGTTGAGCAAAGTACTTATGCTTGTTTCCTCGAGGTGCTGGAATAGTCTTCACTAATGTGGACCACTCTGGGTAAATCCCGTCAGCGAGATAGTATCCCATATTATACTCGTGGCCATTGACAGTATAGTTGCACGGTGAAGCTCTTCCCTCCGCAAGTTGTGCGAAAACCGGTGAACGATGTAGAACATTAAGGTCATTGTGAGACCCTGGCAGTCCAAAGAAGGCATGTCATATCCAAATATCTTTGCTAGCTACGGCCTCCAAAATAATTGTAGGTTCATGAAAATGTCCAGTATACATACATTGCCAGGCAGTTGGACAGTTCTTCCATGTCCAGTGCATGCAGTCAATGCTCCCAAGCATACCAGGAAAACCTCGTTGTGAGCCTTCCTCGAGCAGGCGTGCAATGTCTTCATTAGTCGGTGAACGAAGGTATTCCTCTCCAAAGATGTTGATAATCGATTGAACGAACCTCTTCACTCTCTCAAGCGATGTACTTTTACCGATCCGAACGTAGTCGTCAACAGAGTCAGCGGATGCTCCATACGCGAGCATCCGCATAGCTGCAGTAATATTTTGAAGACTAGATAGTCCTAACTGTCCAGCATCATTCCTCTTTTGGACGAAGTATTTGTCATGTTCGACGACTACGTCGTGGATTCGAAGGAATAACGAACGCGTCATTCTGAACCTTTGACGAAAATAATAAAGAGGATAGGGATTCGAAGGAATAACGAACGCGTCATTCTGAACCTTTGACGAAAATAATAAAGAGGATAGGTTGGTGCATCAGCAAAATAATCTTGGAACAACCGATTGTGACCTTCCAGTCAGTTTCGATTGAGCACGATACGTCGTTTGTGTTGAACTGAAGTTGAACATTTCTCTTGTTCTTCTTCCTCAACGACAACAACTCCCATAAGAAAGAACGTCTTCATCATTTCATCATCGCTAGAGCTAGATGAGCTAGACATTTTATTATGGGAGATGATGGGTTGAGGAGAGAAGCCGTTGAATTTTATAGGAATCAGTCGGTTGACGGTCAAAGTTTGCGATACCTCGAACTTCGTGCCCAACCTCGAAAACCGTGGGTTACCTCGAAGACCATGTGCATTCCCTCGAAAGTCGCGGGTTACCTCGAAGACCATGGGTTGCCTCGAAGACCGTGTGCGCTCCCTCGAAGGCCGTATCCAACGGTTAGAAATAAAATACAAGAGGTTTAAATATAATTAAAAGTAATGCGTAAAATATTAAAATAGAAGAGAGGTTTTTTGATATTGTTGGAGCTCCTAACTAGGAGCTTATTGGAGCTCCATAAAAGAAGGAGTTCCTCCCAATGCTTAATTTGTTAATTTTTTATTCTAAAATGTTTGAGAGCTCTTGAGAGCTTGCTGGCTAGGACTCCCAACTGAGAGATTGCTGCACTTGCTCTTAATATTAATTAGATTACAATGTGGGGTTTTACTTGCTACTTGTGGAGCACAGTGTAGGGTTAGGAGTGTACTCCTTGCTATGTAATCAATCCTTTTTTGTGTAGTGGTATGGCTAGGGCCTCATCCTGTAAGGTGTCAACATCATCCTTTTTCTCAAAAGAAAAAATCTTTCCTTTTAGTCTGTGCGCATATTCAACGCCTATAAGAGGCAGGTTCATATTCTCTCCGGTTAGACATCACTCGGTTAAAACAATAAAAGATTGAAAAAGTATGATATTCGGTAATATCATACCTTCAATCATTTATATTCAGAATAATTAGTGTCAACCTAAAAGTATTCAATTACAGCTTAAAAGTATGATGTTCGATTCTATTCAGAATGTAAATTGATCTTATGGAAACACCAGGTATGCCACATCTGAAGTGATCTAAACATTCAACACTACGAAAGTCGCCAATACGAAATTGCCGCGGCGCCGCACACCGTGAGCACGACAGTACTCACAACTTGCAAATGGGGCTTTAGGCAACGAGGGTCCAGCCAAAATTGTAACCGTCGCATGACTCGCATGACAACAAAAGAGCACCAAATTAACAAACGCCGTCATCTCTAGAAACAAACGATATACAGTGTCAATTTCGTAGCTAGTACACAAAAAAGAAATGAATTATGCACAGAAATTAATGCAAATAAGGGGGACCCATGAGCTATTCATTTCTCTCTATCTCTCTCCTCTCTTATAGAGTGCCCATGGGCACTCTATAGAAAAACCGTATATAATATTACGATTTGACATATGTTATTATCTATGTAAAAGGAACACTAATTAGTGTCATTTTCACATTGGAAAGTAATTAAATAAAATAACAGAAG